TTTCACATAATATTTCATTCTCCAAGAAGTTCTCCTTAATCAGTTGTCTTCACTGAGACTATGAGAGGCTAAATGACTTGACAAAAACGAGCTGGGCCTCAAATCCTATCCTATAAACTCAAAACAAGACAAAACAAGCAGAACTGACCCAAAAACTTGAAGTTCTGGTTTGAAGGCTTCCATCTGAAAAATTACTCATCCTGTGATCTTAGGCAGGTCAAATGAACATGTAAACATTTTCATTTATCAGAATATTAACCCTTGCCCTATGTACTCAGAGAATACAAAAAGGTACCATCATATATATGTCAGATAAACTACTATAGAAATGTAAGAGGTAATTATAGAAAAGCAACACTATTGATAAGCCAAAATTTGTTGAATAACAAATGAGTCTTAATATTTTATAGTTTCAGGACTAGTGCCTTGGCAGAATAAACTCAATCTCCTCCCTCCATGCACCAGCATTCCATAAGGGCACCAGTTCGTGTCCTGGCTGTTCTACTTCCCATCCAGCTCCCTGCCTATGACCTGGGAAAACAGCAGAAGACCGATCGGCATGGGAGACCCATGCTCCCGGCTTCAGATGGGCCTAGTTCTGGGCTCTACAGCCATTTGAAGGGTGGACTAGAGATGGAACAACTCTGTCTCATCTTCTCTGTAACTGTCTTTAAATTGAAAATAGAATGTATATATCTTTTCCTTCAAAGATTTGTTCTTATTGGAAAAGCAGGATCAAATTTACAAAGAGGAAAGAGAAAGCGCTTCCATCTCCTAGTTCACTCCCAAAAAGGCTTCAATGGCCAGAGCTGAGCCAATTCAAAGTCAAGACATTCTTCTAAGCCTCCCATGGAGGTGTAGGATCCCAAGTTCTTGGCCATCCTCCACTGTTTTCCCAGGCCATAAGCATGGAGTTAGGTGGGAACTGGAGCAGCTGGGACAGGAACCAGTGCCTATATGGAAATCCAATGCTTGCAAGGTGAGGATATAGCCAATTGAGCCATTTCACCAGACTCAATAAAATAAATCTTAAAAAAACATTCTGGGGCCCAGCGCGGTGGCGCAAGTGGTTAAAGGTCCTCACCTTGCACACCCGGGATCCCATATGGGCGCCGGTTCTAATCCCGGCAGCCCCGCTTCCCTTCCAGCTCCCTGCCTGTGGCCTGGGAAAGCAGTCGAGGACGGCCCAAAGCTTTGGGAACCTGCACCCGCGTGGGAGACCCGGAAGAGGCTCCTGGCTTTGGATCGGCATAGTATCGGCCCATTGCGGCTCACTTGGGGAGTGAATCATCGGATGGAAGATCTTCCTCTCTGTCTCTCCTCTCTGTATATCCGCCTTTCCAATGAAAAAATAATAAAAATAAATCTTTAAAAAAAAAAAAGCATTCTGTAGTCTATCAGTAACAGCATGCTCTAAAACAGTGATTTTCACAAGATACTTAAACTCCTCTGAAGCAAATCACATGTACAAAGCTGACAGAAACCCCAAATTCACTTTTATCAGAATACATCCAAAAGCTTTTCAGAAGTTCAGATCCACTATATTTATCATCATCTACTGACATTTATTAGGGAACTATGATACCAGGATTTCACACCATACGTAAGTGTTGGAATACAAAACAATCGATTCTAGAGACTACACCTAGATTGAATTCTGGTACTGCCACTTACCTTTAATGAGACACAGAATTTCCTTATCTATAAATATGAGGAAATATCTACCTTGTAGAGTTGTAGGTTGATTAAATAAATAAATGAACATAAATAAAATTACTACCACAAATGCCTGGAACAGAGGACTTGAAAAAACATAAGCAATCGCTATTATTATATTATTTATCCTCTATTACAGTCTCAATTCTTCAGAATTACTAAATCCAATCCAAAGAGATAAATTATGGAAACACAAGAAAAATTGTAAAATCAACATGCACTCTGAATATATATCCACATTTTAGTAAGGTTTAGTGAAATTGAAGTCCAGGGGATGTTAAATAGTTGAAAGAATATCAAAGGAACAGGCTGGACTACAGAGTTAAGTAAGATGGAAGAGCAGAAGAGAGGGAATAGAAAAAGAAGCATACATGGAAAAATAAAAAAGATGCTTTAAAATAGGTGAAGTCAGAGGCTCAGTGCGGTAACCTAGCAAACGAATCCTCACCTTTCACATGCCAGGACCCCATATGGGCTACTGTTCTAATCCCGGCAGCCCCACTTCCCTTCCAGCTCCCTGCTTGTGGCCTGGGAAAGCAGTTGAGGACTGCCCAAAGTCTTGGGACCCTGCACCACTTGGGAGACCCGGAAGAGGCTCTTGGCTCCTGACTTCAGGCTCGCTCAGCTCCGGCCATTGCAGCCGCTTGGGGAGTGAATCATCAGACAGAAGATCTTCCTCTCTGTTTCTTCCTCTCTATATATCTGCCTTTCCAATAAAAATAAATAAATCTTTAAAAAAAAAAAAAAAGGTGAAGTCAGGCTTCTTAAACAGCACTGATGAAGGAAACGGACTACACAAAGGAATAAGACATACAACTCAAACCAAGGAGGACTCCCAGGATGACAACTGTGAATGCAAACACCAGTCTCACAGTCAAGAGATCTTAGTCCAAGTCCTTGGTTGTCCTGCTACTACATTTCTAAGGCATAGTTAATACCAGGAAGATTTGAATCTGTTTATTTTTTTAATTTGCTTTTATTTATTTGAAAGACAGTTACAGAGAGTAAGGAAAAGAGAATCTTCCATCCAGGTGGTTCACTCTCTGAATGGCCAAAACAGCCAGGTGCCAAGAACTCCTTCCAGGTGTCCCAAGTTGGTGCCGACTGCTGCTCTCCCAGGTGCATTTAGTAGGGAGCAGGCCAGGAAGTAGAACAGCCAGGACTCAAACTGGTGCCCTTATGAGACATCAGCTCACAGGGAATAGCTTAACTTACTATGCCACATCAGTAGTGCAAGTTTCCTCATTCATTCAGAAAATACTTTCCCTTAAAAAATACAGAATACTGGGCCCGGCGCGGTGGCGCAAGTGGTTAAAGGTCCTCGCCTAGCACGCCCGGGATCCCATATGGGCGCCGGTTCTAATCCCGGCAGCCCCGCTTCCCTTCCAGCTCCCTGCCTGTGGCCTGGGAAGGCAGTCGAGGACAGCCCAAAGCTTTGGGACCCTGCACCCGCGTGGGAGACCCGGAAGAGGCTCCTGGCTTCGGATCGGCATAGTATCGGCCCGTTGCGCTCACTTGGGGAGTGAATCATCGGACGGAAGATCTTCCTCTCTGTCTCTCCTCTCTCTGTATATCCGCCTTTCCAATGAAAAAATAATAAAAATAAATCTTAAAAAAAAAAAAAAAAAAAAAAAAAATACAGAATACTCTGAGTCTCAACTTCCTAAAGATTACAGTGGAATGGTGAGGTCAATCCTTTCTAAACTTTCTTCCAGCTTTATAATTCCAGGATCAAATATCCTATGAATACAGTATCACTAACTTGAGGTTTTACATGAGGCCCACATATGTACCAAATAAAGAAGCAGAAAAAAATACTGGAAAATAAGGTACTGAAGGGTCACATAAAAGTTCTCAGCATACGCTTTTATATTATGATTAAGAAGCAAAAAGATCTTTCTTTTCCAGGATAGACAATTAACCTAGATCAAGAAGACTGAAGATCTAACAACCACACAGGCTTCTAATCAACAAGCCACCATTTTCTCTTGGCATTCTAACCCCAGCTCTTCATCTTTAGAAAACCTGTTCTGACAAACTGAGAAGCCAAATTCTAATTAAACCTTCCTGCAACATGTATGCTTAATAAGACGTACTTTTACATCTGCATAGAAAAATGCTGATGGAAAGTCAGCAACTAGGATACATATCAACAATAAAAGTTACATTAACTTTACAACCCAGGTAAATTCTCCCAAATAATCTATTCTAGGTCAGTTTCCAGAATATTTTCAACCATGCTTTGAGAGCCAAAATAATCTTCATCTTCCTTTAGATGTAGTGTTCCACCCCTCTTTCTATCGTGCGCCCATCAACTCTTTTTCTGTCAGTTTCCTCACTTTTGCACCATCACAGAAGCCTCGCTGTCAGGCCAGGGTCAGAGGCGAGGTCTCCACCTCAGCTTACTCTGGTTTTTCCAACCATTCTCACAGCCCCTTCTACCCTAAATGGTTCTGTTATTCTTACGATCTGTTTTCACACAACTGCATATCCTACCCTCAACTCCTTTTCGATCGACTTCAACATATTATCTTTAGAACCTCAAGTTTCTCTAATCTCTTTTCAAGAATATCTGCGAACTCCCATCTAGGATCCCAAACACAACACATTCACCACTGCCTCCGGTTCTACTAGCAAATTCTCTCTTCACTACCAGCAATCCTCTCATTCCTATCTGATACAAATACCAAATGTCTACTCCATTCTGCTTTCCAGAAACTACTCTTGCGATGGTTCCGCCTTCCTGCCTGAGTTCTCCACCATTCCTTAGGCCTATTCCTCAGCCTCCTGAGACCTAAGTCACCTCCTCAATCTGTCTCTTACACCTCCGGGAACGCTCTAGAACCTTCTGTTCCCTACTGCTGCTCCCCTCACTGTGTCCTCCTCCCCTACTTTTCTATTTAATTCCCACAGTCTTCCCACTCGTGCCAAACCTTTCCTTAGCTGTGCCCCTCCCAATTCCCTTCAACTTTTCTTTCAGTCCTATTCCCCTTAACGCCCCCATGCAACCCGGCAGACGACCCCCACCTCCGTCGTCATTCTCCATCCCTTAAATTCTGCTCTCAGCTTCCCCAAGCTTTGCCTGATCCCCTTCTCTCTTCCACCATATTATGTGTCGTCCTCTAATTCCCATGGACCAAGGCACCTCCCCTAAGGACCCACAGCTGCCTCCTACTCCACCTAAACGTGATCAAGCCTCCGCCGACACCTGCTGTCCTCTCAGAAGCTGCATTTCCTAAAGAACGGGGCCTGGCCTTCAGGAAACAGGGGTGTGGGTCACGTACCCCATCCGCATCTTGGCTCCGCTCTGACTGCCCCCGCCGCCCGGGAGCGGAGGGCGAGAAGGCAGACGGCCGAGGTGCATGCTCTTCTCCAGCGCCGACATCAAGGCGAGGTGGCAGGCCAAGAGGAGTCGCAGCTGCGTCCCACGCGAAGGGCGGCCCAACCGGTCCCCACTCGCTGCCCTAACGATGTCCAGCCGCCCCGGACAGCACCCAGCCGCCGGCTGCGCCGCCTCTGCCGCCCCTCCGGCGCTGGACGCTCCACCCCCTCGCTTCGAGCTTCACCGGAAGTGCGTAACAGCCCGCCCACAAAGGCAGCCGGGTAACGGAGTCTACGTTAGCGCCGAGTAGAGGGACGGTCCTCCCAGGGAAACGGAGCGCTTCCCAAGGCAATGCACGCCGGGCAATGTCGTCTTCGCAGGGCGTGTCGCTTTGCGTTTGCGCAGCTGGAGGTACCTCTGTCCAACCCCGCCGAGGTTAGTGTAGCAAAGCATCCTGGGTGTTGTAGTCTATTGACGGGAAGGAGTCCTGGCGCCGTGCCATCTCCAGGCTTTCCGGAGACTGTTGAAGGAAGAACTGCGGCTTCCTGCCTCCCAGGCTGCCCAGCGCTGCCCGTTGCTTGGGAACACAGGAGTCGTGTAAGGGATGGCGGGAGGATACGGCTTGGGTGCTGACACCGGGACTGAATGGGTGAAGAAACACTCAGGCTCGTCATGAAACAACGAAAAGGCCTGAGCCCCGGGGGCGGTCGTGCGCGCAAAAAGAGAGGTAACATGAGCTGTCAACAGTTGGGGAGCGCGATCTGGGGTGGGCGTCCTAGAGCGCAGAGTGTAAAGGATTCGGGGAAACCCCCACACCTACGGGTGTAAGATGGGGGTCGGAGGGAATAGGAACCTGGAAGGTTAGAAGGGAGAGCCCGCCGAAGAGTGTAAAGGAACACAGATGTTCGGAGAAGAAGAGGCAGTGCAGCAGAGTGAGGGCTGGAAAGGGAAGAACAGAAATCCCCACCTTTGCACACAAAGGTGAACGCGTATCTGTGTGTGCATCTTTGGAAGTCCACAGAGAGCTCGAAAAAGTTGGAGTTGAAAGTGTGCTACTGATCCTAGTGCCTAATGAACCTCATTCATACACTCAAGGGCTAACACGAAGTAGGACGCAGGCAGTGTTGATGGAACAATGAAGTAGGAGTTTGGGAAAGGAGCTGTGGTAGAATTAGAGGATCTCGTAAAGGATCTGCAGGGTGAACAGAGGGCATAAGCCAGAGGACCTCATCAGGGTAGTGACCAGGCTTGGGGAAGAATAGAGAATGTTGACTGCTTTGAGAGTTATGCCAGGAGCCTAGAGCCCATCAGGAAGCTGCAGCTTGAATCTGTACAAGGCTACCCTTGAGCAATATAAAAAGGACATTGGGTGACCCTGACTTCTTACATTACAAGCACTTTAAGAAGGAAGGTGATACTAGGCAATGGAGTTGAGGATTGAAGCCACAAGCTGGGAATGATGACATTTGATCACAAGTCAGAGTAGAAATCATGATGAAGAATGGCCTACTTGCTATACCGTGTGCGTTTGTTGTCATGTGCATACCTGTATATAAGTTTTATAATGGAACTATTAAAAATATAGGAGGGTTGTGGTTTTGGCACCATAATAGGACCCTGCTTGAATCGAGCCCCTGATTCCGAGTGCCTAGTTCAAGTTCTAGATCCTCTGCTTCTGATCTAGCTTCCGGTCAGTAGGCACCCCAAGAAGCAGCCAGTGGTGGCTGCGGGAGCTGGGTCCCTTGTGGGGGAGATTGTGGTACAGTTGGGCTCCTAGATAGGACCAACAGGTAGAAGGTCTCTATCTCCTTTGCTTGTTCCATTTCTAACCTCTCTGCCTTTCCATTTTTAAAAACATAGAGTATGTTAGTTCTTTTCACTCCTATAGACAGAGAAGATGTCTGCTTTAGGAAGAAAAAAAATCTCATTGTGACACACTGGATTAAGCCACTTGGAATACCCACGTGGTCCATGCTCTGCTACCAACCCAGCTTCCTGCTGATGTGCTCAGAAAAGCAGCAAACCAGTGGCCCAAGTGCTTAGGCCCCTGCAACCCAAGTGGAGCTTTCCAAAGGAGTGCCTGGCATCCGCCTGGCCCAGTCCTGTTATGGTCATTGTGGGCGTGAACCAACAGGTGGAAGATTCTCATTATCCTTCTCTGGCACTCTGCCTTCAAATAAATTTGTTAGTTTTTTTTTTTTTTTAAGATTTTTTAAATTGGAAATTCAGAATTCTAGAGAGAGAAGGAGAGACAGAGAGAAAGGTCTTCTGTCCACAGGTTCACTCTCCAGGAGGTCACAACAACTAGAGCTGGGCTGATCCAAAGCCTAGAGGCAGGAACTTCTAGGTGCAGTTAGGTGCAGAGTCCCAAGAACCTGAGCCATCCTCTACTGCTTTCCTAGGCCACAAGCAGGGAGCTGGAAGGGAAGTGGAGCAGCTGGGACACGAACTGGTGCCCATATGGTCCCAGCAGTTGCAAGGCAAGGATTTAACCACTGAGCCACTGCACCAGGCCCATTGTTAGAATTTTTTGAAAGTCTAACAGCTCAGATACATAGATCCCCAAATCCCAAACTAGACCTGTTAGATTCTAGTATGTTTTCCCTCTTTAGGGATATTCACTTATGTTCACATCTCCTCCAAACTGCCCCCCCCCCCATCAGAGTAATGGATGACAGTCAAAATCCTTAAAGTTGTACAGAAAAGATTAATTCATTGCCTATTTTGCATTTTGATTTACCATCTTTCTGGAATCTAATAAAAACTAAAATGAGTCATCCTATGAACCCAGCACAGTGGTGGAAATGAACAGTAGAATCTCAGGATGAGAATCTTTACCCTTATTGATCGCAAGCACATGGGAAAGTAGAGGCACAGGCAGTATAAGGGTGCGTTCGCAGGATCTAATGTCATCGGAACAATAGCTGGCCCTGAGAGGTCCTCAGAAACAGAACAATAAACTTCCTTCAGGACTCGGGAGAAGAGGAGCTTTCTCTGGTCCTTACTTAGTTTCAACTTTGGATCCCCACCTTCTCTTGCAATAGCCATCAGGGTCGCTCCAGAGGTCCCCACCCCCCCAAAAAATTAGATTAGATAGACAGAGACCAATAAGTTAAGCTTAGAACAGACAGGAAACATTTAGCTTGGACTCACATAATTCACTAGGTAGGACACAAAGATTAGTTACTCCTCACCAAGGTATTGAAGATTTCTCTGCACACCCGTCCTAAAACTGCTCTGCTCCCCAATCGTTAACATATGCCTTGTTAGAGTTGTAAGCCTGTTTGGACTATGCTAAATTGGCAAGTTCAGTAAAAATCATGCTTCAATACTATAAGCTGCTAAATACAAAAATTAAAATAGACACGAGACGGCTGAATAATACCCTATAACCATTTAAGGTATGGAGTAGCCAGTTGTGTATAAACTAAACTTGAAATGTCAATATAGTAGTCACAGGATGAGGTTAAGAACTTGCATTTTCTAACATATTAGTCACTCAATACCATGCCAATTAACTCCATAATGTTGTAAATTGTTGTTGATGTTGTGTTATGAGTTTTCATTGGAGGGGATGATATTCTGCCAGCTCTATTTTCAGACCAGGGATGGTCTCTCAATGAAACTGTTGAACTTATCTGGACAATAAGATGCTGAACTCTATGCATGGTATATGCTCGCAATGAAGGAATCATGATTGAATGTGAACTGTACCACTGCAACAATGTGGAGGAATCCAACATGGGAGGAGGGCATGGGGAGGGGTTGGGGGAATCCCAGAGCCTATGAAGCTGTCACAAAATGAAATTTTTAAAAAAAAGACGGTGTTTTCTTTTAAATGCAGAGTGGTGCCAGGTTTTGTTTAGTGATGGTTTTCAAATAAGATTTAAAGATAACGTATCTTTAAAACTGTGGACATTGTAATCATTGAAACAGCAATACTTAGAAAAATTTCCAACTACTTGCATTTTTAAAACCTATTTTGTTATATTTGTGTTTTTCTTTTTCTTTTTAAGATTTGTTTATTTTTATTGGAAAGACATATTTACAGAGAGGAGAGACAGAAAGATCTTCCATCCACTGGTTCACTTCCCAAATGGCTGCAACAGCTGGAGCTGAGCCAATCTGAAGACAGGAGTTTCTTCCAGGTCTCCCATGTGGGTGCAGGTTCCCAAGGGTTTGGACCATTCTTTGCTGCTTTCCCAGGCCACAAGCAAGGAGCTGAATGGGAAGTGGAGCAGCTAGGACACAAACTGGCACCCAAATGGCATCCTGGCACTTGGAGGTGGAGGTTAACGAGCTGGGCTATCATCCAGGCCCAATACAGTTGTGTGTTTCAAATAACATATTTCATTTAAACAGTTTGTATAAGCATGTCTTAATAGTTCTTTATTTACAACAATCAGAATTTTTTTAATGATATATTTTAGGGCCAGCATCCATATGGGTACTTGGCATCTCCCACCTGCTCTATTAATGATGTAGCTCTTTGCTTTTGTCCTAGAAAACAGCAGAGCAAAGCTCAAATCCTTAGGCCTCTGTACCCATGTGGAAGACTGCAAGAAGCTCCTGACTTTGGATCAGCTCAGCTCCAGTGGATAGAGGACCTCTCGCTGTGCAATCTGCCTTTCGAGAAAAAATAAACAAATCTTTCCCCCAAGAAAATTATTTATTTTGATAGAGTTACAGAAAGAAAGAGGAAGAGACAAAAAGATCTCTCATCCACTGCTCACTCCCCAAACGTGGCACAGTTGTCAACACTGGCCAGACCATACCCAGGAGCTTCATGTCAGATTTCCCACATTGGTGACAGGGAGCCCAAACACTTGGATACTCTCCTCCACTACTTTTCCCTAGTGATGAACAAGGAGCTGGATCATTATCAGAATAGCTGGAAGATGAACCAATGCCTTGCAGAGTACCATAAATTAAACCCTAAATATTCATTAGTTATCAGAGTAGCTTAAGTGACTAGAAAGTTTATTTGTGCCAGGAGAGGGGAGCCTTTTTTCCTGCCAAGGGCCATTTGGATATTTATAGCATTCACGGGCCATACACAATTATCAAATTACAAATTAGCCTGCTGTAGATTTTTTTGAATTTAATGTCCTACCCACAGTTGCCTTAGCAGGGCCAGACCAAATGCTTTCATCTGCAAGCCATGCATTCTCCACTTCTGTGTGTGGTCTGGCTTGCTCCTTCATTCTCATGTGTTAGAATAGGTAAGATAAACCTTCATTCTGAGAAGACCAATATGTTTTGCTTATTTTAATTTAAAAGGCATATTTTACTTTCTATATTCTAAATTTTGACTGTTCTGATTCCTCTGTAGGTTTGAGTGACATTTCTCCATCAACAAGCCTACCTCCCCTGGTTGAAGGCCAGCTACGCTGCTTTCTAAAACTTACTATTAATAAAGTCATATGGAAGATTGCAAAGCCTCCCACTTGTGTCCTTGTCCGAGTGAGATGGTGGGGAGAAACATCAGATGGAACCCTCTTTTGTCCCAGGGATGCACTGCAGACTGAACCAAAGACTGTGAGAACAACTACACGTTACGCTATTCGCTGTGGTCCGAAACAGTTTACCTCTTACCTAACAGGTATCTTTTATTTATTAATTTATTTTGTTTCACCTGCAGACCCAAGACAAAACGTGTGGTTGTGCTGTTAGTGGTTGGTGTTATTGTGCACCTTGTATCTATTAGCATTGTTAGCTTTTTTTTAGAGATGTGTTTATTTACTTGACAGGTATGACGGAAATAGAGAAAGAAAGAGAACATGCTATGTCTTCTATCCTGTAGTTCAGCCCAAAGCCAATAGCACAGAAATCCATCCATGTATTCCACATGTTTGGCAGGGGCCCAAGTGCTCAGGCCATTGTCCACTACTTTCCCAGGAACATAAGCAGCTGAGCTGGATCAGAAGCAAGGCAGCAGGGACCCAAACTGGCATTCCAGTATGGAATACCATTATCACAAGTAATGGACTAACCGACTGTGCCACAATGCCAACCATGGACATTGTTAATTGTTGAGAGGTCAAAGAGATTTAATAATGGCCTTCATTAAATGAAGATGCACTGTATATTAGCACTTGATACTCATATCTTTACATTAACTTTACAGGACATTTTTTTCTGTATTTTAGTAAAAAACAAAAAACAAAAAGATACAATGAATACTAAGATCACATAGTTGATAAATGGTGGAAATGTGACTTGAATCTTCTTGTCTCTGATACCAGAACTCGTGCCCTTTTCATTGTGTTACTTTTCTTGAGGTAACAGCTATAATTTTCTCTTTATTACGCTTAAAGAAAGACACTATGGATGTAATACCTACAAATATTACAAGATGCTATATGCTAAATACCACATTAGTGCTTTCGTGAGTTAGGAGTACAAGTTTTCAGAAAAGTAAGCAGTATCTCTGTAGGCAAAAGTATCCAGAAGGCAAAAGTTGTCTTCATTTTCTCACAAGGAAAGTATTCTAAATATACTGTGTTATTTCTCTATTAGAGTTAGGCTTTCTAGAAAACACATTGTGAATGAGGGGGTTATTTGTCAAATCATTCCAGTTCTATTAAATAAAAATTGAGGATTTATTATGCAGATATTGTTGGGCTAGCAATCTTAGAGAATCAGATCAATTAAATATTTGCCTTTATATTCTGTTAAGGAAAGAATTTTGAAACATCAAAATGTAAAGAACACATGCTGTAATCATTCAAAATGTGTGTTGAACACTTGGCATGTATCGGGGTTGGGGATTTTTTTTAATGCCAAGAACTGTTTGGATATTTGTGACATTATGGACATACAAAATTATACACTTAATAACTAGATCGGGGCCAGAGCAGTGGCACAACAGGTTTATCTGCCACCTGCAATGCTGGCATCCCACATGTGTATGAGTTCGTGTACCGGCTGCTTCACTCCAATCCAGCTCCCTGCTAATGTGCCCTGAAAAGAAGCAGAAGATGACCCAGGTGCTTGGGTCCATGTGGGAGACCACAAAGCAATTCCAGGCTCCTGGCTTCAGCCTGACTCAGTCTGGGCTGTTGCAGCCATTTGGGGAGTGAGCCAGTGGATTGAAGAGTCTGTCTATCTTTCTCTCTAATTCTGCATTTTAAGTGCACAAGGTAAATCTTTACATAAAATAAAAATAAATTTTGAAATAAATTAGCCTGCTATAAATGTATTGGATTTTGAGCCCTTCCTGTAATTGCCTTGGCAGGGCCATACCAAGTAGTTTCACAGACATCATACAATCCAGGCACCAGATGTTCTCTGCTTGACATTATGCTAGATGCTATGAGGATTGCAAAAATGAATCAGCAAAACATTATTCACAGTGGTTTCTAATTCTAACTTCACAAGGAAGTTTAGGTACAGTAGTAGGTTGAAGCAATCATTGCTGTCAAAAGACACCCAGAGGTACTCTTGGCATGGAAAAACTAAGTTTTAATGAAAGAGGAGTGATTTCAAGTTACATAAAGGAGAGGACATCTATGTGTAGTATAATCAAAATGTCAAGCATTTGTTTGAACATCCCATGATACAACGAAACATTGTAGGTGGCATCTGAACATGTACACATTTAGGTTAGTGTTGCAATCTTGGAGATTTGGAGAAAGTCTCTTCCCTTCTCCGACCCTGTATCCTCATCTATAAAATGAGTTCTGAGAGCTGACCAATCACCTTCTATATACTGTTCCAAAGCAGCAGCCTGATTGAATGAGAGGAACACAGGCTTCCTGTAAATGTAGGATTGTTGCCTACTATTTATCCAAACCTATTTCCAAATTAAGACGGAAGTGTCAATATTATAGAGCCATTAAGAGACTTAATGAGGGCCCAGCACAATGGTTCAATTGGCTAATCCTCCAACTCTAAGCACCAGGATCCCATTTAGGCTCTGGTTTGTGTCCCAGATACTCTACTTTCTATCCAGCTCCTTGCTTGTGACCCAGAAAAGCAGCGAAGGACAACCCAAGTGCTTGGGACCTGGCACCCATATAGGAGACCTGGAAGAAGCTGCTGGCTCCCAGGTTGAGATTGGCTCAGCTCCAGCTTTTGTAGCCATTTGGAGAGTGAGCCAGTGAATGAAAGATCTTTCTGTCTCTCTTCTGTGTAAATCTGTCCTTCCAATAAAATAAGTCTTTAAAAAAAAAAAAGTGATGGCTTGTGGGGGTGGGAGAGGTAAGAAATGTAATGAGGCAGGGAAGAACTGGATTGTTAGTGAACAGTCAACAAATCTTGGTCTGTTTTCCTTGTTGTAGACATATACATCATTTTATAATGTACAAAGCATTTTTACATCCATTAGCTCATATGATTTTTAGATAATCCCCATGAGTAGTTAAGACAAAAATTACAATATGTTAAGTAACTTGTCTGAAGATGTATGTAACAATCATTCGACAAGTAGCCCATGCGAGGACCCTGTATGAGATGTTCTGTGTGAAGGACCCTAATTCTTCACACATCAGTGATACGGATTCTTTGATGCCTCTTTGGCAGACTACTTGCTCAGCAGTACCTTTGAATCTTGGAATTGAGACACAAGCTTGAGCTTCTAATTTTAAGTCCTATCTGCTTTTCATTATAGTGTTGAACAAATGTGGAATACATTCAGAAATTATACTACCTTAAAATGATCTTAAGAGTCCATATTGCCTCAAAATGTTTTTCCTGAAAGGAACTATGACCATGCATGTATTATGCCTAAGTAACTAATTGAAAAATATGGTTAAGGAGCTTCTGTTCCTGTTAACTGCAGGTGTTCTCAGTAGCTTAGTGCTTTAAATATTGAGTAAGCAGTCGTGTATTCCCGGGAGGATAGGGTCTTGCCCTTCCAGCTATGCAAGAGAAGCCTTTTGTCTGATTCAGAGCTAGAAATAATAAGAATGAAAGGCCTGAGACATGTTGCTTTTAAATTTCACAATGAGGACCTCTTTTAAAAGTATGGGGCTTCAAATATTTAGTATGTTAAGTATTTTTTCCTCTAAATTTTTTTTTCCTAGTGCAAGGTGTCAGTTCTCTAAATTTTTTTTCTTTTGATTTTGAGTTCACAATTTCTCATCCTCAGAATGGTATGGTAAGTGCCTGGTATATTTTAAATTAAGTAAAGGAAATTTTACCGTATGTAGCCCTCTGTCTACTTCCGGAGAAACAAAGATAAATGAAACATATCTGAGTCCTTTGTTGTTGTTTCTGATTAGATATGGCTGTGTTGGTGCTGGAAGTAATCACCAGACTTGATCATCTTCCAGTTGGTAGAGTTCAAATCAGTGGACTAGCTCAGCTTTCTCCAACCCATCAAATCAATGGGTTTTTTGCCATTGTTTCACCAACGTCTAAGAAACTTGGAGAACTCCAGGTAAGAAGTGACTTATTTCTTTGCTGCATAGAATAAGATTTTTGGACAAAAATACTTGAGTCTTCTGTAGTATTTTGCATGAGTTCCACATATCATGCTGATTCCCGTCTCTTAGCTTTTCCCATGTTTTACCCAGAAACTACAACCTATCTTTTTTTCCCCTCATATCCAAATCCACTTAGTGATTTACTGCCATCTCAAGTTCCAGAATTCCTTCATACCGACTATATTCATTCTCTGCATTGTGTTGAATTCATAAAAAGTATTATAAAGTCATTGCTCAGTTATAATCTTATATTTAAGAGCACATCAAAAGTCTTGGAAAATAGAATTTTAAAAAAGTTTATTTTGATGCAGAAAAAAAATGTTTGGAAAGTCATGCATAGAAATAGTCTTCAAAAAAGTTCATACAGGATCAAATAGAGAATAAACAGAGCGTGAAGCCACCACCTGTGCCACTGACATCCCAAATGAACCCCAGTTCTGTGCCAGCTGCTCCACTTCCAATCCAGCTCCCCACTAATGACCTCGCAAAGCAACAGAAGTTGGCCCAAGTGATGCATTGCTGCCACCCACACAGCAGACTCAGATGAAGCTCCTGGCTTCTGCCTTTGGCCTAGCCCAGCTCTGACAGTTCTACCTATTTGGGGAGAAAATCATGAGATGGTTAAAGTAGTGTCCAAAATTGTTTATTAATGGTAAGCTCTTACTGCTTCCAAATTTCCTGAAAGGTAAGCCTGTGTTTTCTCTTTGCTTTGCTTTCCCTATAATTCTCAACAGAGTACCAAGCAATAATTGAATCATGTAAATAATGTCTTTATTGTATTTACTCAGTGATTCAGCTTAAATGTTTTTAATGCACTATTATGTGCCACTGGCAAGTTAGGATGCAGCAGTGTGTGATGGTCCTTTCATTTGGTTTTCTAGAATACATGTGTGCTGTAAGCATGCCCAGAATGCTAGGAGAAAGCATAGAAGATGACTATTTTTTTTCTTTTGGATCTTTTTTTTTTTTTTTTTGGATCGTTTTTAAAAGAACTTCCTAGAGAACTCTAAACACTCTAATCTCTTAGAAATTTCAGGGAATTTATACTTTGTGCAGTGTCCTCTAAAATTCACATAGCAAATCAAGAAATCAGTTTTTAAAAAAAAGCCCAGTACGGAGGAAATATCCAATATCGTGTAATACAAGAATGTGTTACAAAACCACAGCCTAGAGTTGTGTTAGTAGAATATGGATAAAAATGCTCCAATAAAGTGAACTTAGCATTTTGTTGTATTTGTTACATTTTTATTAATATGTTAAATTTAACATATTAACATTTCATTGATAACTTCAAGATGCTGTGAATGATTTGTTTATGCTTTTTTGATGGTGGCATAACTTTGTATCATAAAGCAGTCTAGCTGAAAATAGTGGTAATTTCTTAGCTGCTGCTTACTGCTAACGTGTCTGTGGAAGAAATATTATAGTATGCGATATTTGCTTCATAACAATCCATGAGCAACGTATAGCTTAAAGAAAGGAATAAGTGAAATAGGGTAAACTAGGTACTGTTAATCATTAAAGCTAGATCATGATTGCCTACGTTCATTGTATCTTTTCTAGCTTTATGTAGGTTTTAAGTTTTTCACAACAAAATAATTTTAAATTTTAATATTAATTTTTTTAAAGATTTATTTATTTTATTACAAAGTCAAATATACAGAGAGGAGGAGAGACAGATCTTTCATCTGATGATTCACTCCCCAAGTGAGCCGCAACGGACGGTACTGGTACTGCAGGGAGCTGGCTGGGAAATGGAGCTACCGGGATTAGAACCTGCGCCTATATGGGATCCTGGCGCATTCAAGGCGAGGACTTTAGCCACTAGGCCAGGCCACCGGGCCCTTAATATTAATTTTTTCAAAGGGCTATTGAATACAGTTGTTGAAACTGACTTACAGAAAAGTATATATCATTGTGACAGTTGAGGACATTAAAAACAAAGGCAAGAGCTACCAGCTTCTGAGGTAGAAAAAAAAAGTCATATAGAGTAGAGTATTGAGTAGTATGGCTTCAGGCATCTGAAGAGGGGCCAGAAACAGTGTTTTCAGAATGGTGAATGAAAAATGGCTTAGAATTCTCTTCAGTGATGTATCTTACCTAGATAAGGGCAGAATAGGGAAGTTTTGATGTGAACAACATCTCAAAAATTTTTACTTCTCTCACGCCTTTTCTGCAAAAGCAGCCAAAGAACTTCTACCAGAAGGAGGGCATGAACTAAGAAAGAAGACAGAATGAGGTGTAGGAAATATGAGTTCCCCATAGGAGAGAGGCAGAATTCTTTAATTTAGCATAAAGGGAGAGCCAGCAATGGCAGCTAGTCCAAATCAAAACATGTCCTTAGGAACTGGGAGAGAGTCCTCAAAAAGTAAAAGTTAGAAAATAACTGATGTATCTGAAAATCTAAGAGATTGAGACAATTGGCAAATAACTTGGAATTGAATTAATAGTAGGAATAATAAATACAAAGCAAATTAGGAATCAATGGCAGTTACCATTTTGAGGAAAAATTGTATGGGAGGGAAAATCATAACTGAAATATCTCCTTGTTCAGCTGTAAATAAAGTACATGTTCTTTATATTGTAGTTTTGGTTAGATCAGGAATTGGTGGTTATAATATTATCCTTTTAGCAGGTTAAAAGAATAGGGGAAGTGAACAGATATGAAACAGAGCTAAATTCTTCCATTCTGGGAAATCACAGCATAGTGCCTAGGGCTAGTGTTCTGCAGGAGTTAAACTTACTGCTTGCCACACCAGCATCCCGAATCTGGCATCCCTTGTCAGAGTACCGATTTGACTCCTAGGTGCTCCACTTCCCATCCAGATCCCTGCTAATGTGCATAAAAGACAGCAAAGGATGGTCCAAGTGCTTGGTCCCTGCCACTCGTGTGAGAGACTCAACTGGAATTTCAGGCACCTATCCCAGCCCTGGTTGTTAAAGCCGTTTGAGGAGTTAACTAGTGAAAGGACTCTCTCTCTCTCTCTCTCATTCTCTCTCTCTCTCTTACTCATCCTTCCTTGCAAAAAAAAAATATTTTTTTATTATTATTTTATTGTGATAATCTTTACATAGTTGGTTAGGGCACAAAGGGTCAAGGGCTACAGGAAAATGGGTAAGACCATTGTTTCCACATTATTATTTTTTTCTAGACCTGGGATAAGGGAAGAATAAAGTGAGAAGCCCCACCCAGCCTCCCACCCATCCCAGGTCCTCAACATAGGGCTTGCTCTGAGGGTCCTGCTCAAGTCGTTTTGATAGTTCAACAGTTCTGAATTGCTGCCAGTATTGCCATTTCCAAACACGATTAAATCTCTCCAGAATCCACTGGCTGACACAGTCTACCGTAGAGTTTTTGTTAGCTCAAATTTTCACTGCCAACACATGGCTGGGGTACATATTGATTTGTTCTGTCCTCCGTCTTGTAGTGGTACCAGGTATCCTCTGCAAGTTTCAATAGGCTGCCATATCCTCCATGTGCACTTGGATTTGCCGTCTACTGTTCAATCTGAGCTTCTGAGGAGGCTCAGCTTTGACACTTGCACTCCATGGTCAGACCATGGAACCTGCACTTCTCTTCATGGTTGGGTTTCTGAAATTAGCAGTTCAGTTGGAGGAATCCTCAAAGAAACTTTGTCTAAAGTGATCCCAGGCCTGATTCCTGCGTGTGCATGCTAGTACAGGGTCCAGCACAGTCTCACCCCAATCAGCTTACGCATATGTTGGTGGTTGCACATGCTGGATCAGTTCTGTTTCCAGTCCTGTCTTCTACAAGAACCAATTGGTGTTGCAGTCTAGCCTGATTCTGCCCACCACATTCTTGGCCCTCACACAAACCAGTGGGAGCTGCAGCCTAGTCAGGGCGATGCCTAATAACCAACCCCCCCCCCAGACCCGTCCCCTGCCCTGATACCCATGCTTGCCAGTATGTATGGCAGACTGGTCCAGTCTGTCCCACATCCCATTCAGCTGTCACACATGTCAATGGGCATTGAAGCTTAGTTCAACCCAACCAACCTACTATCCAGCCCGCACACATGCTGGTGGGTGCCACTCTGTCCAGCCACACCTGCCCCCAGTCCTGGTTTTCATGCTCTCCTGTGGGAGTGGTAACTCAAGAGGGAGGTGCCCACTAATTCCCTCCTGGGCACACTCCCGGATCATGCACTTTCCAGATGGTTCTGCAGTTTAGCTTGACAGAATTAGCCCCTAGTGCCAGCATCTGCCAGCTGATGCTGCAGCAAAGCCCAGCCAACCCACACCCACTCTGATCTACACTTGCACCAGTAGGAACAGTCAGCCCAGCCTGGCTTTTCCCTAATCTAGCTCACATGAGGCCCACAGGTGTTGTAGCTCTCTCCAGTCTGGTCTACCCCCATCCCAACTCGCACTCTCCAGTGGTAGTGGTGTTTCTGCAGGGAAGCCCTCCACATTTGCCCTACCAGCTTTACCCCTCCCCCTCTGCCCGAGGTCTTGCATGTGCTTGTTGGGTGCTGTGTCCTGGTCTGAGATGGCATGTCTTGCCTCAGCTTTTGCCATTGGGTGCTCTAGCCTGGCACATCCCAGCCCACCCCCAATTCCAGCTCAGGTTGGTGTTGCAACCGGACTTGGCCTGACCCACACTCCATTCTGGTGCTCAGATTCGCCAGTGGGTGATGTGAACTGACCTTGCTTGGTTCGCCCCCTACCTGCGCCAAATGTATGCTGGTGGGTGTCATTCCCTGGCCTTGTCTGGGCTGCTCACTATTGTGGTTCTTGGGTTCACCTGCATGCACTGAGGAGTTTCAAATAATTTTAAGAAAAAAAACAAAGATAGTACCTGATAACACAGGAAAAATTAAGATATATAGATTAATCTTTAATATAACCATTTTATGTAGTGTTCTAGAACTACATATCACAACAGGAGTTGAAAAAACCTATTTTCTCTGGGAAAGTAAAGTAGTCTAAATGA